AGGGCGTACTATTACGCCATGCGGTGTTTAGATCCGCTTAGAATAGGGCGTAATAGTACGCCCTCCAGTTTTAAGGGGTTAAAGGGGTGCAACAATTTGATAGATTGTAAACTCCTCTCATTCATCAACAATGTAGTAAAATAAAGATAAAACTTTATTATCCTTAAGGGAGATTGCAATGAGGCAAGGTAAACCAAGGGTTTTCAAACCAACTAATAAAGATTGTTAGCTGTTGTGGAGTTACAAGCTAGTTGTTCATACAGGGTTATGCATTAAATACCAGAATGGACAAAATCAGAGGAAAATGACCAAATTTTGACCGCATTGGCAATTCACAGATCTACTAAAGACAAATGCAGTCAGGATTCCGTTGCTTTGCTTTGACCTATTCCGTATCATTTCTTCATAAGTGTTCAGAAAATCAGTCATATTTGCATGCGAACCAATATAAAGCATAGGAATCGGACATTTATCAACATGAATATAAACGGAACACATTTGCAATCATGTGCATTCGCAAATGAACATTCACTTGTTTTTATGCAGTGAATAAAAAGTTGAAGCAGTCAATGGGCAAGTAGTTAAAAAAAAAAAAATCTTGTGGCATGAGGGTTAATTATTTGGCGGCTGGTCAAAGCTTGCAAGCCAGTCCCGGATTAAAAAGAAATAAATGAATAAAAGTCTAGGAGGGTCTCTCAAGACTTGGCTGTCAGAGTGCTCTGATTAGTTGGCTGACTTATAAATGGCTTACTTATATTTTATCATAAAAAAAGATAAAAGATAAAAGATAAAAACAAGAAATAAAGCCTACTTGTTATCTAGCACCAGTGCAGTCTGCTCCATCTTCTGTGAAATCATAAAGATGATGATCTCTGTCCAATCTAGTACTTTTCATTACAAAAAAATGGAGACATGTGGTGCATAAACTGCACTCACTGTATTCAGCCAAACCAATGCTTTGTAAATAGAAGCATGGAATCCAGTGAAGGGTTAGAAATGTTCAATTTCATCATGTGATGTGTGATGATGCCAAAGGTGAAGACCTTGAAAAGGTGCTTCTAGCGACTCTCCAGCCACAAGAAGCATGTTTTCAGACACATGGAAACATTGCCATTTCTCAGGAAAGTCAATGTTTCACATTGTCCAAAAAAAATTCAGCACCTAGAGAGTAATAAAGCAAGTAGAACACAACCAAAGAATGGTGGGACTAGAATCATAATTGAGATGACTGCAGATGGAGGAATTCAGAAATCCATCAACCAATGTTACTATGTGATATGGTATGCTTGGTTAAGTTTTCTTTACTATTTTAATCTTTATACTATAAAAAATACATGTATTAGTGAGCATGTGTGTTTGTGTCAGTGCATTTGTGTGTAGTTAGTTTGTGTGTGTGTGTGTGTGTGTGTGTCTGTATTGAGCTTATATGTGTCAAAAAGCTTGCCTGTAGTGAGTATGTGTCAGTGACCTTGCAGTAAGCTTGTGTGTGTGTGTATGTGTGTGAATGAGCTTGCCTGTAGTGAGCATTGTGTCCTGAGTCTGTCTGTAGTAAGGTTTTATGTGTCAGTGAGCTGGTCTGTATTGCACTTCTGTGTTTCAAAGATCTTGTCTTTAGTGAGCACCTGTGTCAGTGAGCTTGTCTGTAGTGAGCTTCTGTCTGGGCTGAGGGCCAAAAGGGGTACTGACACTCCGCATCGACCACGAGGGCAGAAAATCCTTCTCGCCGGCGGCACCAACCATCCTGGGGCTTCTGTCACATCCCGTCAGGTATGGACATGGACTTTGCCACCAGCCCCCAAGTCCGTGGTGTAATAATGCAGGCCCACAACTCTGCCTGGGGCTAGAAGGTTGCCACACAATGCCCTTTCCTCAGGACTGCCCTCGCTCGTTTCCAAGTCTCGATTGGGCTGAGTATACGTCACATCCTGTTCCTCGCTGCAGATCATTCTGGCTTTGGCTTCTGGTATCCAGTACTCTTTTTACAATTCCTGTTTAGTTTTTCTTGTTTTTTTGGTTTTCTATTCCATGTCTGGTTTACTTTATGCTGGGTTTCTGGGTTCATTCTTATATTCCGTCCCTGGATTTCCCAATCTCTTGGATTCATTTAAATGTTTGTTTTAGGTTGCCACACCCGTTTGTTTTCCATCATTCCTTTTGTTTCAGTGTTCCTGCAGACAGCTGCTCAAGTCTTCTGCCCTTTCTTGCAGGTAAGTACTATGTGTGTTTTTTTTGGTTGGTTTAGCTTGCATTAGCCAGATATGGGGTACATTGGCGTTGTTGGCAGGCTTATGCAATGTATGATCATATAATGTGACTAAATCCCCATGATTTTCATATCTAGTACTTAGTTATGTCTCCTCTTGTTTTACCTTGTATCTCTTGTCTTGTTTTATTTAGTCTTGTATTCCCAGTTCATGTACAGTCCTGTCCTTTTCTTGTTTTCTTCATGTCTTGTGTACATGTTCTGGGTTCTGCTTTCTGTCCTGCTCCGGTTCTAGGTTCTCCTAGTTTTGTCTTGTTTTCATGTTTGGTGCCTATTTCTAGTCTTGCCTTGTTTCTGTACTGGATACATTCTTGCTGCAGAGCCTCCCTATTCAGCTCCTGGGAGGTCTCCTTATTTCCAAGCTCATAGTTCCTGGGATCTGCATAAGCTGCATCAGGGTTCTGGTATGTGGCTGCACAAACGCTGGTGCTCAACACCAGGGGGCGTGCGGTTACCTTGCACCAGACCCTGACCTACCCACTCTCACGCTGTAGACTCCTACTTATCATCAGGCATACTGGGTCCAGTTCCTCGCAACCACCGCCAGAGACAGTGTCTGGGTCCCGGCACTGGACCGCCACTCTGACAGTATATAAACCTAGATCTGGGACTGACCACACGCTACCAGACCGTAACACCCCCTACCGGCATGATCCCGCATCGATCTACTCCGACGCTGCTGCACCAACCTCACTGCAGACTTTTCCAGCTGCCCTACACTCTGATCGCTGTCAGGGGTCGGCTATATCAGGACTAGGCCTCATCAACTGAGAAATGTTTCTCCCCAATGTCGTTATAATGATGCAGCTGGCTATGCCCCATACTTTTGTTTTTACACGTTTGTTTTAACCAGTATTAGCCTTAAATTCTATGTTCAGCTTCAGTGGAAAGGCATAATAACAATAATTTTAGCACGGTCTCAGTGGATAATTTCATTAACTCAAGCTTGTTATACTGTCTAATACTCACCTCATGCTGTTTTCTAGACCAGAATCCAGTGGCGCAACGACACTATTGTTTAATATGACAGTTCAGCATGTCTTCACTATCAATTAGCCCTGTGTATCTACTCATGCTTTACTTACCTTAATATTTTTATCAACATGTCTGCGACTATGCAAAGCGTAGCCACTTTCTCTTAACAGTTACTCCAGGCATATACTGTTTTAGCCTGTACTCTAAGCATACTATAAAATTTTAAAATGTGCGACTTATGTGAATGTCATAATACTGTTTTGTATGTCTTGTTGTCTTTCTGTTTGCAGAAGCTGTTGTGGCTTACCAAACATTGTGTTATTTCTTTGCACTCTATAAATAAAGAATAAAAAAGAAAAAAGAAACATACCTATACTTAATTATAATTTTGTTGAAAATTCCTTGCACTCAGGCTCCAAAGATCCTCGAAGAAGACAATTCAGTGGCGGGTGCCAGACTTTAACTACATTTTTGTAAACAAAAAGATAATAAATAGTAGTCTGCACTCACAGTCTTTTAAAACGTAGCATTTAATTCTTCATTTCATAAAAAGTGCACTCCATAAAGTGCTTGTAGTAATTCAAAGTGTCGAAGTTTCAGTCTCAACATGCTGACCTGAGGAAAGTCCTATTCTGGCACTTTATGGAGTGCACTTTTTATGAAATGAAGAAATAAATGCTATATTTTAAATAAAGACCATGGGTGCAGACTACTATTTATTATCTTTTTGTATACATATATATTTAAATGATTATGTTAAATATTACTTTATACTTTATAACATTTAAAATATGCCACACTACGTAGCACAGTTACTTACTTAGGGCTGGCATACATTTTTTTTTTTCAGGGTTGCTTTGTATTCCCAATCCAGCCCTGCATGTTATAAATGTTTTTTTATTGTAAGGGGAAGATCTTTGAAATGTTCAAGATAGTAATAATTAATTAATGCTCTTTAAAGTAGATCTACACGGAAATAATGAAATATGCATTTTATGCTAAGGAGATAAATATTAATTACTCCACTTTAAAGAGATAATTAAACTTGCACTTTATGTTTATTTAATGAATATATGGTGTTTTTCTATTTATGCAATTAATTTTATTAATATTATCCATATAGTTTAATATTGATATTAATTTACCGGTTATCACATAAATTGGTTTTGTATGCTATTTAAATAGCACGTAACCACGTACGGTGTGCTTATGAATAATCATATCATAAAAGGCGCAAAACAGTTTGCTGGGTGATGTTTTGAGTACTTATTATTTTATGATCTTTATTACACATTCTCGTGGCATTCCTCAAGTTCATGGAGTAGTCTGATTTTTTTTTTCTATGCATTAATACAATGACTGAGAACATTTGTCTGGCTATGCTATACGGTAAAACATTAATGCTCCAACACATGTGAATGCTGGCTATAAAATATAAAGTACCAGTGCTTTACCTCCAGAGGATCAGTTAATGATGACCCAAGAGAGTGATATAATTTGTTAAACAGATAATTTATAGAATTTGTGTTAACATTAACTCCTCAATACCCATCAGCTAACAATCTTAGAAAGTGAAGGCATAATGTCATGTGATAATTTAAACTTAATATTGGACCATTGAATCCTTGGCTATACATTCTGATTAACAGAAAAAAAGAAAAACAAATCTACTCAAATATATTGACATTGAATAGCTGTTATATTAAAGATTTGGTATCACGGGATCAGTTAACATACCCTTTTCTGTTAAATCTATAACATCTATTGTTAGATTATCTTTTATAATTGTTTTCATGCTAGCTGTTAAAGATACTACAGATGTCAATGTTTTCTTGCCAGATCATTCATCATTGCCTGTGCCTTTCAAACATACTTGATTCTCAAAGGCGGCTATATAGGGCCACTTTAATGATGAATTCGCTTTTAAGTCACTGCATTCCTTTAAAGAAAACATGTTATTTAAAATGGAATGTATTAGCCCTTTAAGCACCGTAAAAGGTTGAATATTGATTATCAGAAAAATATGGTTTAATAATACATAGGATAGTTAAAGGACCACTATAGGCACCCAGACCACTTCAGCTCAATGAAGTGGTCTCGGTGCCAGGTCCATCTAGGGTTAACCCTGCCTGCTGTAAACATAGCAGTTTCAGAGAAACTGCTGTTTACTTTAGGGTTAATCCAGCCTCTAATGGCTGTCTCACTGACAGCCGCTAAAGCCACTTCCGCGCTTCTCACTGTGATTTTCACAGTGAGAAAACGCCAGCTTCCTTAGGAAAGCATTGAGAAATGCTTTCTGATGGACTGACTGAATGCATGCGCATTCAGCCGATGACGTCGGAAGGAGGAGGAGAGTCCCCAGCGCCAAGGGAGCCTGGCGCAGGAGAAAGGTAAGCGTTTAACCCCTTCCTACCCCTAGAGCCCGGCGGGAGTGGGACCCTGAGGGTGGGGGGGGGGACATATTAACACTATAGTGCCAGGAAAACGAGTTTGTTTTCCTGGCACTATAGTGGTCCTTTAAACTTAGGATATAAAAATTCTCTAAATATGCACCTCCACAATTTCTTATCGCTTTATAACTAAAAAAAAAATTAAATTTTTTTTAATTCTAAGTAAATTAGAACAATTTACTTGAATTTGTACTATATTACTTTTTTATAAATCTACTTATAGAAAGTTTTTGGTTAATATGTAATTAAAAATTAAGAGACTATATGTTTTAGGGGATTATTATATAAATTACTTGTGAAAAATTAGGACTAATTCACGGACACGACTCTCTTAACTATAAGAGATCCACTTTATGAAGTATCTCTTTATGAAGTATCTAATATGCACTTTTATAAACTTTTATTACCTTTCTTATTTATATAAAAATCCAATTTAACATTGGAAATTTAGGTAATATTGATTGATTTACTTGAATCTAACAGAGTATTTTATTTTCATTTTAGCACATGAGATAATCAAATTTTACTAAGAAGGGAGAAGGTGAGAGGAATAAATGAGGGTAGGTTGTGTAGGTAATGGAGAAACAGAAAAATAATAAAATATATTCCAGTAGCATTCTCCCCTTAATGCTGCTGTTCTCCTCTTCTGGAAATACACAAAGAACAAGAAGGAGTGTATCATATAATGATCTATCGCCATCCGACCTGACCCCTGTGGTGGAAGCAGGGATTTGCTGAGATAATGATAGTATATCTCAGCTAGAATGTTGTGAGAATTTTTCTTTTTTTGTGTGTGGTATTTTCTTTTTCTTTCTTGTTTATGAAGCCATTGAGGGGTACGGTGAATCTGATGATGCATAGTTTGATGTAGGATAGAAATGTCAATTAAAATTGTCACAATGAACGTCAAAGGTCTAAATAACCCCCAAAAGAGAGGCTGTCTATATAAACTTTTAACAGAGGTTACATTTAATGTTCCCATGATGCAGGACACGCATTGGGTTCATGAGGGGAAAAAAATTGAATTTTATATATGAAGTATTGTATTTGTTAATTACTTGTTTTTAACAGTTTTTGATGGCTTAAGAGGTATTTTAATTAACAAGTTAATATACTGCTTCCCATTCGTATTCCCTCTCTAGATTTAAGATGGCTTTACTACCCCATGGTAAATTATTCACAAATTTACAGCCAAACCTTGAGCCAGCCCATTATGGGCTGAGAGGTGAGCAGAAAATTTTATATTTTTTCACAATTTATTTGCATTACTAGGGCATTAATAAGGTTTTTTTTTATATTTGTCTGCTTTCCTTCTATCTCCATTTAGAGGTAGGTCAATTGGCAAGGTCAATTGACGGGATAGAGTCCAACCTCTTTGAGCTCTTAATTTGTGTAATTTCTATAAGATAGTTGTGGGGAGTAAGTCTCTGTAGGAGATTAGCACAGCCATATAAGTCACACACAGGCACACACACAATCACATGCAATCACATATAGTCACATACAGTCACACAAAATAGTCACATGCACACAGTGACATGAAGTCACACATAGTCACAGTCACAAACACACTCACTCACATACATTCATATAAACAGTCACCCACAATTACATACACAATTATCTTAAACTTGTTGTTCATGAGATGCTCTATTTCATAGGTGTGCGCAGTCTATTGCATTAGGGTGTGCACCCTAAAGCACACACACACCGCATGTGTATGTGTGTGTGTGTGTGTGTGTGTGTGTGTGTATATATATATATATATATATATATATATATATATATATATACACACACACATACATACATTTACACTGCTGTGTGTGCTGTTAGTGTGCTGTGTAAGGGTTCTGTGTGTACTGTTAGTGTGATGTGTGGGTGAGGGTGTTTGTGTGTTGGTGATGGTGCTGTTTGTGTGTGAGGGTGTTTGTGTGTGTGTGTTTGTCCTGTGAGGGTGCTGTTTGTGTGAGTGTCCTGTTTGTGTGTGTGTGTGTGTGAGGGTGCTGTTAGTGTGCTGTGTGTGAGGGTGTTGTGTTTTTTTAAAAGGTGCTGTGTGTGTTCGGTTAGTGTACTGTGTGTGTGAGCTGTGTGAGCTGTATGTGTGTGGGTGCTGTATGTGTGTGTGTGCTGTATGTTTGGAGGGATTGTGGAGGTGGGGGCAGATTAGTAAATATCCCCCTTCTGATCACTCTGCGGGGCTAGAGTTAACTCTCGCGAGATCTGAGCGTTGCCGCGGCAATGCTCAGATATCGCGAGAGGAACCTTGCGGAGCTGCTGTATAGAGCTCCCTGAGTCCTCTCCTGCCTCCCTCCATGCTGCTGTGGGCCGGTGAGTTAAATCTTTGGTCTACCCACCAGCCCATGGAGGCTTAGAGCAGAGCCGGCACTCAGATAGCGCCGGCTCTGCGTGAGCCGACAGGGAAGATCGGGAGATCTCCCCTGCCAGCAGGGTACAAGTCCTGTGGAATAATGTGTGGGAACTCTCCCAAGATTCCCACCCCCCCCAAAAAAAGACACACACACATACACACACACATTCACAGACACACAGTCACACACATTCACAGATACAGACTTGTCGCTGGGGTCCAGTGGGGTGGGCTCCTTACTCCATCTCAGCCGCGGCAAGGGAGCTGTGTGCTCTCTGCTTCCTCTCACTGCATGGGCTGTCTACAGAATATGACGTCATATTCCGGCTCCCGGCATCAGCAAACGGCGCGCGGCAAGAGGAAGCAGAGAGCACACAGCTCCCTCGCCGCAGCTGAGATGGAGAGAGGGGGGGGATCCATCACCTCTTGCCCCTGCCCATGACGGGGCAACACGGGGGGAGGAAGGGGGCCATTTGGGGGCGCTGAGTGCCTGCAGTAACAGCGTTCCTGCTCAAAAGAAAGTGCAGGAACACTGTTCCTGCAGGACTCAATCCATTGGCGTGTCCCGCCGGGATTAGGGTGTGCCCAGGCACACCCTGTGCGCATGCCTATGCTCTATTTTCTTTTAAATCGCTTTCAACCCCTTCAGGACGGAGTCAATTGTACACGTTCTCAGGGCCGTCTTTAACGCGGGGCAAACGGGGCAGCTGCCCCGGGCCCAGTTTCTCTTGGGGGGCCCGAGGCACCTGCCCCGTGGGCCCCGCTGCCCTCATCAATTTATTTTTTTCCCCATCCTCTGAGTCCCACCGGGTGGCCCATGCACCTAGGGCCACCCAGTGGGCTTGTATCAGCAGGGGCCCAGTCGGGCGCTGTTGCCCTTTAACACTGCGACCGGGCCCCTTGCTTTCCGGCAGCCGGCTGGGAGGAAGTGACAGCCGCAAGTCACTTCCTCCCATAAACAGAGGAGCTGCACGGAATCTGTCAGGAGGAGTCGCAAGGGAGAGAGGATGAGGCTGCAGTGAGGATGGAGGATCCTCACTCCCATCATGCTCAGGCACCACACTGGACTCCAGGGAAGCCACCCTCCAGCAAAAGGTAGGAAACTGGAGGGTGAGTTTAAAAATGTACATTTTACATGTGTGTCAGTATGTCTGTTTGTCTGTGTGTCAGTATGCCTATGTATGTGTGTGTGCCAGTATATCTGTGTGTGTGTGTGTCAGTATGCCTGTCTGTGTGTGTGTCAGTATGCCTGTCTGTGTGTGTGTCAGTATGTCTGTGTGTGTCAGTATGTCTGTGTGTGTGTGTGTCAGTATGTCTGTGTGTGTGTGTCAGTATGTCTGTCTGTCTGTGTGTCAGTATGCCTATGTGTGTGTGTGCCAGTATATCTGTGTGTGTGTGTGTTTCAGTATGTCTGTGTGTGTGTCCGTAAGTGTATGTGTCAGTATGTCTGTCAGTGTGTCAGTATGTCTGTTAGTGCATGTGTATGCATGTGTCAGTATATCTGTCTGCGTGCCAGTATGTCTGTGTGTGTGTGTCAGTATATCAGTCTGTGTGTGTCAGTGTATGTGCCTGTGTGTGTGTGTCAGTATTTCTCAGTGTATGTGGGTGTCAGTGTGTGTGTCAGTATATCTGTCAGTGTGTGGGTGTCAGTATTTCTGTCAGTGTATGTGTGTCAGTATGTTGATCAGTGTATGTGGGTGTCAGTGTGTGTGTCAGTATGTCGGTATATGTGTCTGTGTGTCAGTATGTCTGTATATGTGCCTGTGTCAGTATGTCTGTCAGTACGTCTACCAGTGTATGTGTCTGTGTGTGTCAATATATGTACCTGTGTCAGTGTGTCTGTCAGTGTATGTGCCTGTTTATCTGTATGTAGTCAGTGTATGTATCTGTGTATCTGCTTGTGTGTCAGAGTGTGTACCTGTGCATCTGAGCCGCAACTTTAAATACAAATACACCCCTCCATTCAAACTTCAACACTACATATAAAACACACTCCTGCATTGAAACGTCAACACTACATACAAGCACACTCCTACATTCAAAAACAAACACTACACATAAATGCACACTTGCATTCAAACTCCAGTACCACATACAAACACATTCACACAAACATACTCCATACAAACACATGCTTACATTCAAACATACAAACATGGCTCAGTGCTAAATACAACCCTGCAAGCATGGGAAATTGGTAGAGTCCCAGCTGTCAAAGCATTGTTGGAGTTGCACGACAGATGGGGTTCTACCTTTAGTCCAACCTTGCAATTGGGGGTCCCAATAAAATTCATTCTACTTTAGTACCGCCACTGCGTTGGGATGGATGCCGTGATTGCATACCAGGGAGTGAGGGGCGAGAGCGGCAGGGGCCAGGGGGCCCAAGCAAACACTTGCCCAGGGTCCATTCGTTATTTAAGATGGCCCTGCACGTTCTGATCAAAACAAAATGTAAACAAAAACTGGAATTTGCACTACATGCCTGTTCAACCGTAATTCACCTCTTTCATATTAAGTGCACCCACACTTATTATATATCATTTTATTCAGGAGAAACAGGGCTTTAATTTCTCATTAACTATTCATATATGAAACAATTTATTATGAATAAAATTTAAAAATACTTATTTTTAAAAATTGTACTTCCGCCTGACATTTTAGCTGTAAATGTCATAATACTGTTAGCTTTTACTGCAATAAAATGCACATATTTGTATTCAGAAAAGTCTCATGAGTACAACAGTATCCCCCTTTAACAGGTTTGTGACTAAGTGGCTACTAAAAAAGACTGGTCATATCCCACTTGCAATACCTTGGGTTCCCTACTTTTGCAAAGGGTATGCCATCATGGGTGTAATTCTCATTCCTGGGCTACCATACGGTCTCAAAGGCAACATTACCAATCTGGCAAATTTCAATGTGAAAAAAATGAAATGCAAGCCTTATATTTGACTCTCTAACTTTCCAAAACACCAGAAAACCTGTACATAGGGGGTACTGTTATACTTGGGAGACTTCACTGAACACAAACATTAGTGTTTCAAAACAGTAAAATGTACAATACTATATTACAATAATAATATCATCAGTAAAGGTGTCGTTCATGTGTGAAAAATGCAAAAAACATTGTGGTGGAATCTCGGTAAAAATAAATTTAGTAGGCCGAGATTACCACGTGGTATGTGTACGTGCATATGCTGACGTATCGATCAGTTGGTTGCACGAGGCAAGATACGATCAGTAGTGTACGGAGCATGTGCAAGAATACAGGATGTAGTATTCCCCTCCTCCATTGTGCTGGACAAGCCATGCGGTCAAGCAGGAAGTTAATTCTTATTTGTAATGATTGGTCAAGAGAATGTGCGGGTGGAGCTTAATATGGGAGGAGTTATGTGCCTATATAGGGAGCCTGCACTATTGTTCAGGGCTCAGAACTTGCTGTATTTTTGGTGACATTAGTCCCTCTGAGTCCCGATCGGTGATCCAATAAAGAATCTCTTCCTTCCTGAAGAAACCTGTGTCCATCCCTCTGTGCTTTGCTTCCGTCAGTTTCTCCGGTATCATTTGGTGCATTGGCCGGGAAGCTCATCGTTCAACGGTAGCTGAGAGGCAGAGGCGTGAGACGGTCTATCTTTGCCCACGTTCTCTACGGCTGCACCCCTGAACTTCTGCGTGGACCTCCCTTCGTCTCGGCGCCACTGGTCTGTTGTCCAGGAGATCATCGGCCTCTACGTAAGAAGTGCTGGGGTGTCCCCGTCGATGAGTGTGAACTCAGGTTCAGGAACGAGGAGGTAAGACAACTGCTGTTTTAGACGGCAGACCCACTAGGGGTATACCGATTGTGCGGTAGGCCCAAAAGGGGTTTAAATCTGTGTATGGAATCTGCCCCCTCTGTCGGAGGGAAGGAGCGAAGGCGCACCGCTCGATCGAACGCTCTTTAGTAAGACCGTTTGATCTGGTTAGTCAGGCGGGGTCCTGTGTAAATAGCCCTAGCCGGACACCGGTGTCTTGTCTAGACTAGCGCTCTAGGGTGTATATTACGTTCGCTAGGTCGGAGGGACCGGGAGACTAAGCGGCGCCTGTGTAAATTCGGTTCGCTAGCTCTCAACCTATCTTGGCTAAGTGGGAAGGCGTGTAAATTTGGAACCCACTAGACTTTTGATAGAGTAAATAGACTAGAAGGGCAATTTTGTAAATTTGCCCTCTAGTTCGCTATATGTGGTGTTTGGGCAGTGTGGCTAACCAAAACGGGTGTATATAGTTTTAGGTAGTCCATTCAAGGTACTGGCCAATAGTTTAGTTGGGATTGTAAATGTGTTAAAGATTGTTAGTAAAGTGTATATCTTGTTAGATAGCGCGAGCTCAGCCGTCTAGCGAGAGTGTTAATAGTGTGTTGCTGTATCATAGTGCACGGTACCATAACCCTGTATATTTACTGACA